ACAAGCTTATGCAACATTCTTGTTGGTGTTTACACAGGTACAGATCACCACAACGTACAGTTTTGGATTATGGCTACCAATTTATTCGAGAGATGGCCGACTGATCACAAAGGATTTCAATGTCAAAGGTGGTAATTTTATATTTCCAGAGGATAACTTTGGTTTGAAGTTTGAGGGGTTTGATGGAATAGTCGAAATGGTTTGGAAGGCAGACAAGTTTAGTCATAAAACTGAACCTTCTGTGTCCAACTCTTATCATAACCGGCTTGGTTTATCCTGTGAAATCCCCTCAACCTCCCTTCAAACTTTTGCTAGATTACAGCAGAACTTTTATGATTCTAATCCAGATGCTTTTTTTCGTGGTACAAGCCAAATTATCCAAAATTGTAAAACTTGGAAAGAAAATAAAGACAAAAAAGAAGCAGAAAAGAAGGCCAAAAAATAACCAAAAACCAAGAAAAAATCAAGTGTTTCCTTTCCATGCTAATTCCAACCACACAATCCTATTGTCTCTCATTTCTGGTTAGTCATGCACCCGCATATCTTTTATAACCAAACATTGTCAATGTTCTGCTCACTTTTGTTAGTTTATATCAATAACTACACACACATATTTCCATTCAATTTTTTTTCATATCATTTATGTTTTCCCATTAACCTCCCTTTTGTTGGTTTATATCCTTGCATTTTCTTCAATAACTACACTCAGGTTTTCCATACAAAACACATTCCCCAATTGCCCAATTTATATGCTTTTTTTTTTTTGTGGGGGGTGGGGGGGGGAATACAGCAGCAGATGAATAATGATAACTCATGCTTTACCTTTTGATCTGAAGATTAGGACGAATTTGGACAGGAGTGCTGGCCAATTTTTTCCACAAGGAAGTGCCTGATTAATTAAAACTTATTCCTCATCTAGATAAGATATTCATTTGATTGTTTTTAGTCAATAAATACATTCCAGTTGCATTTTTCCTGGTATTCACCATTATAATGAGCCACTGGTTTGGCATTACTCTGAGCAAGGTTCTTACCAAAAGCAAGCTTGAGGAAAAATTGTTTAAACCTTCCAACAAGGCTGTCTTTGGTATTTATATATTTTAAATACAAACTGAGTACATATAGATTGTGAGGATTCAAATGAATATGTGTCCTTTTCAACTGTTGGAGAGCCCCTATTTACATCTTTTACAGCTATTTCCTTATGAATAGAGTAGAACCTGTCCTCACACATTCCCATTAGGAGACAAACTTCTGGGCTTAGGGTGGTGATGGGTTTTGACAGGCACCTCTCCTTCCAATTTCTCAACTTGAGAAACCCATTTTTCACATGGGTTTGGGGTACAGGGGGGTTATTGGTCTGTTCAGGTATGGGTTAGAACAGGTTCCACTGTATTTTACACCTAATTATATTAAAAATATAACCAGCCATGCTGAAATCAAATCCATATTGACAACATTGGTTGGTGAAGTTTTACACCTAAGATTTATATGCACAGCCAAATCAATGAGTGCTTCAGAACTCATGTGCACCTGAACCCCCTTGCTTGGTCATATGGTGGTATTCATTTTGGACATATGAATGTATATTACATGATGTATCTGTTTTTCATTACCATGATTGGTGTTCTCAGAGGGGGCTGGTTTGAAGGCAACATGATTACTTCCTGCAGCCAGGCTTTTTGCATAGGTTTTCTGCAGTTCATTCAATTTGAAGGGAGCTACTAAAATGATTGAATATTGGTGACCAGTATTTGGATTTTTTTCAGATGCAGTGAGTGTGTGTAGATTGTATACAAATGAAATTAAAGGTGGATAATTTTATGAATCAGTGAAATGAGATTTTTGACACCTATCTACAATTGTTTACACCTATCTACAATTGTTTACACCTATCTACAAGCATATGATCACAAGTTTGGAAGAGTTACAAAAAGAAATCATCATCATCATCCATCCCATCTTCAGCTTCCTCTTGGACTGCCTCTTCACCATTATCAGATGAGTCAGAGAAAAAATGTGGAGGGAAATATAATTGTAGCCTAGGCAGCATAGAATCAAAGACATTCCAAACCCTACCAATTTCCAAGTTTTGAAAATTGTATCCCAATTCGGTGAATATGTGGAAAGCTATATTATGGAAAAATGCTGGGGTGTGTGTGAACAGATGGTCTAGATTTGGGTAGTGTTTTTCCAGAAGCTCATCAACTCTTGATGGGGGGATGGGGACCAGTTGGTCTGTTGTGTTGAAATGTGCTGGGTTTGAATAAGAAAAAATTGGCTGAACACCTGTGGGCAATGAGGTCCTTTTATCACGCCTTTTCCTGTATGCATTGTGGGTTTTGACCCAGCTGTCTGCACTTGATTGAAACACAGGAATCCATAGAAAGAGAAAGAGCAGTCTGACCCAAAATATGGTCAGTTGATGAATGGAATACTTTGATGGTGAAGATGGCTTACTTTTGCAATGGGTCACTCTCATCATACAAATCATTTTCCATGTATGTGAAAATGTTGTGTATGATTGGCTTGTTGCGCTCCGTCATCATTCTGGACCACAAGGATTCGATTTTCTGATTATGAACTGATTTGGTGTGATGCATGTGTTTTTTTGCTTCTTCGGCAGATATATTTTCTATAAATTCATGGGAAAGTCAGATCTGGAAGCTGCCCATTTTTCCTGTCTCTGTCCCCCTGTCTGTCGTGAGTTTCCATGGAATTCCACCAATAGCCCTAACCAGGTGTAGAAAGTATGCGCCAATGTGCCTTGGATCATTATTTGTGACATGTACAAATATACCCAGAATCTTCCTTGACCAGGCATCAATGAAGCCATATACTGTGATCCCAAATCTATTTAACTTGTTGTGTCCATCAGCTGACCAGATGTGATTTGGACCTGTTGTGTGGAAGACTCTCCTTTTGCAAGTCTTTTTTAGCCGCAGTTGCATTCCTTCAGGGTCGACCTCTCTCAGGATATCATAAACAACCTGTCTGTTGAGAAAAGTGAAATGTCAGTTGGAAGGTGAGAAAAAATTTATAATTATTCATGAAGCATACCTGGGTAGGTGGACCCCATAGTTTGTCACCAAGATCTGCCGCATTCTTCTGTAGCCTGCTGTGTTTGCTAGTAATGCATCACGAGCATGTCTGACCAGTTCAACCACTTCTTCTCGGGTGATTTTTCCATTGGCGAGGTCGTTTTGACGTTGTTTCAACTTCAGGCGCCTCAAATATCTCTCAACCGTTCGGTGACAGACATTAACCCCTAATTCGCTCAAGAGTTGGGAACGCATCTCTGCCACAGTCAATCCGTTGTGATGGGAAGATATCAGGCTGGCACGGATTGGTGGGAGTAAATCAAGGTTTTTTTTGGCTGGTGGAAGGTCACAAAGGTGGAGGCCTCATGATTGACGAAGGCAGCTGAGGGTGCGTAGAGAAATTGACCAGGCATATTCTTCCTGGAGTATTGACAGGATATCGGGACCCTTCCACCCTTCAAGGAGGAGGGAGGTAATTATGTCGCACTTTTGATTGTCTGAAAGGGGTGTCGGGGTAGCTGTTGAGATTGGTGATGGGGGGTCATCAGGGCCATCATTTTCACTATATTCAGATGTGGTGATGTCTTGATTCATGATTTTAGGGTGAGAAAAATTGCTAATGGAGAAGTCTGAGGTCAGGAGGAGAGTGTTAAGGTGATACTGATATGGAATTCTGGAATTTTCGAGCTGTTTGAATTGTGCACAAATCACAATCAGATGCTGGGTCAAATGGAACTGGCGAACTGAGTAGAATAACATCGGTGGAATTTGAATGCCACCCATTTCAATCAGATCGTAGGCCATGTTGAGACCACACCATTGTGTCTGTGTCAAGGGCTACAAAGGCAAACCAGCCAAGTCCAAAAAATCCCCCATGCTTGCTCATTGGAACCAACTGGTCTATTGCCTGAGTCTGACCAGAAGAAATCTGTCACACCGAGAACACCCCCAAAGCCTATCATGGGTAGATGATAGAGGGCAGGTTCAAATTGCACATAACACAGGATGGAAATCACAGCAGTATTCCAGCTTCAGCCCAATGCACTTGACCAACTATTCTACTTCATCACACAGATATCATGTGTTAATAGAGATATGTGAACTTGGAAACGATCAAACCGCAACTGGACATCGCTTGCTTGTTCTCCCCCGCTTTCTGACTTCTATTCAGCCAATTTCTTAGGGTTCAGCTTTGGTTATCAAGCGACCATATTCAAAGGGTTTCTGAAATCCAAGAGTGAATTGGCTCAGGCTATCCCCTGCGGTTACTTGTTCGATTTGGGAACAAAAATATTGCTGTTGTGAGGGTCTGACTGCTGACCAAGGAAGTAGGCCATTCGCAAAAAGCCAGTTATGCAACATTCAATTTTGGACGGATCACAAGGACACCATATAAGGTGTCCACTATGGCATTCTAAGCATGAAACATTACCACTCTGTCTAGTCCAATAATCCAACATCCTCTATGTTTCAATTCATCAGTCATATAATTGAAGAAGTCATCGATGATTCTTTGGGCTTCAATGGATTCTTGACAGCATCTCATACAGTAAGTCAAATATCTTGGCATTTCAAATGGGTTGCTAACTTTTGATTAGTCCGATGTGTCTTGCTTGGATGTGCACAATGGTCAACAGCTTATGACCCGTGCATCAGTTACACCGGGCCGTTTGGATCTTGAAATTGATGATCACCGAAACCTCCGCCTCATCTACGACCCTTCTTCAATCAAACAATTGACGCGTGGCATGGTTTACTGGCTACAAGGCGCTGTGGTCGGATGTAGCCGTCATGAGATGCCTTTCCTGCAATGCCATCAAATGGCATCTCCTCCAGCCATTGCCCCATTAATCACCAAGGATATTTTAGAGATCACCGGGGTAGGCACCCTTGTGACCAAGATCGATGAGCAAGGTGGTCATTTGCACTTATTTGTTCAACACCATGTGGGAATCCATACAGTGAGTTGAGCCTACAGGGCAACCATGTGATCAAGTGATTAATGTGGCATGGCTAAACATCTGACTTGGTTTATAGGTATTTGGCGATGAAATTATTACTGTTAAATATGTCGTCAACAAAAGCCAATGTGGTGAAGATTTTGCCTTGTCACTCAAGTCCGGTGACTGGGGCAAATTCATTGGGACTTTAGCTGGATGGGATCGAAAGAATAGCACAATGGTTGTTGATGTAAGCTCACCAACCAATTTTTCTTTAACCTTGTATTGATTTCAAAATTCTTCCAGTTGAGTGCAGCCACCATTAGCCGAAACAAGAATTAATTAGTTGCCAACATCTTTCTTGACTGGACCCGTTGAATTTTCATTGCTCGGTGCTTCTATTGTCCCTGCCATGACTGAAAACCTGTCTTTTGCTTGTAAATGCTCAGATGTAACCAAAACATGGGCCATCTGAGTATTTCTCATCGGTATCCAATAGTCAATTTTTTTCCTTCCTTTTGTGGTCGAAACCATGTCTACTCTCCTGTTGTCCTTGCTATGGCCGAAGAACCCCACCTGCTTGTGATTGGCTCTGATGTAACCAACACATGGGCCACCCGAGTACATCAGTAATCCAACTTTGGTAACTAATTCCATCCATTGACCACCAATAAATACACAAGGTTGATTCCTCATCAGCCATTTTTTGCCCACATCTCGCAACTTTTCAATATCTCTATAGTGTTACATATTTTCTTCCATTTTACACCTGAACCATTTCGAATTCTCTGTTAGGATGTCTGACATGCTCAAGTGCATCAAGTGCAACAGATGGTCTAAAAGTAAACATTTCCAAAATCATTGCCTTGATTGTATTATTGCAGACATCCAATCTTCCCCCACACAACCCACCCCATCAGCCCTTTCTGGTCCCTCTACCACCCGCACACAAATCCACCCACGCAACAGCCTCACTGCAGGCCCATCAAACTTGCTAACTTCCCGCCGTTCTCTAACTGCAATCGATACGGGAACACATATGTTTTACAAAGGTTTGGCCAAAGAGGCCCGTGCACAGACCAAATGTGACATTTCAACCCCAAAAGTCAGGCGGGCCAGTTCCTCTTGCACTCCAGACCCCAAGCCATCCCCGGAAAAACGCTTTGTCAAAGCTGGTGTCTCAGTCTACATAGATGATGTTTTACAAAAAAAGACTGGAATTATTCCAAAGGTGTTGGAGGTTGACACAAAGAAGCCCAACTTTTATGAAGACTTTCATCATCATCTCTGGGGCTTGTTTTCTGATGAAATCCTCTTGAAAACTGAAATTACCTATCCACCCAACCCCGAACAGTACACATGCTTAGGCACCCATAACTCCAAGATTGAAGACCCCAACATCCTCTTGGACCTGGCACGATCTGGAAAGACTATCAAAAGCGCTTCAGTCATCCACCTAATCTACCAGCATCCTATGGACGCCTTTCCTGAAACAGAAATCCCCACTTCATCTCGCACAAACTCCAAGAGGAAATATTCAGGTGATCAACCAAAGGCATCTAAAGCCGCAACCTGGGCCCTTGGGGGAAAGTTTTCCACCAAACCTGCAAGGGGAGCCACCAGTCTTTCATCCCAAGTCAACACCCTCAGTCACCCAGTTGGCCAGTCAATCGTGATAAAGACTGATGGGTGGATTCCTGCGCTACAGGTCCATTTCTATACCGTCGATGAACAACCACCATCTGGAGAATCACGTCAATCTTTCATTATCAATGATTACATACGTGCGGTCACCTTCCCTTTGGAAATCAAAGTCAACACTGGAAAGGTTTTAGGGGAGGGTTCCAGTCGCAGGTCTTATGCTGCTCAAGTCTGCTCATTAGAACAGGGTAAAGAGGTTGTCAACAAATGGGTTGCCAAGCTACGGTACTCTGACCCTACACCCAATGTTGCTAATCATGCCAGTGATGCCATAACTTATCGTGGTTTTGCTCTTATCCTGGCGGAATTCAAAGATCTCATTACACATCATCCCTGACATGATTTCCCAGATGGGAAATCTTGTAAATTTTAGGGAAATCCTGTAAAAAAATTCAAGATTTTTCCAGATTTTTTAGATTTTTCCAGATGTTTTAGACATTTTCTAGAATGTTTAGATTTTTCTAGATTTTTTAGATTTTTCTAGATTTTTTAGATTTTTCCAGATTTTTTAGATTTTTTCAGATTTTTTAGATTTTTTAGATTTTTCAAGATTTTGCTAGGGCATTAATAAAAAAACACGGTTTTTCCGCGTTTACACGCGGTTTTGCTGCAGCGCAGCACAAGCGGATTCCACGTTTACACGTGGTTTTATTAATTATGCATAATTTCCCTCCAGGGGGGCGCGCGCGTACCACAAGTGCCTGCATGAACTTGAAAATTTTCCTGCAGGCACCAAACAAGAAAGCCACTCACCACAATCAAAAATAGACTTCACCCCCCCTCTAAACCTTCAACACACCACAACTCAGTCAAAATTCAACCAAAATCAACAAAAAAATACCAAAATCATTCTTTTTTTCTCCTCTTTGACCCCACAGACTCAGATATTTTTGATTCACCTCTGGTTCATTTCCAACTTGCAGGTACACTCTAAACTTCAAAAATCATAACTTGGCCATCCCTCAACCAAAATTCACAACCAACATACGAAAAGCACCCATTTTTCATGCTCTTCACCGCCACACTCTTCAAATTTGCTGATTCATTGCTTGTTTTTTTTTTGAAGTCATTAGTAGGCCTCAAACTTCAACTCTGAATACCTCAGGCGTTTCTCATCCAATTTCTTCAAGAAAGCCATCAATCAACTTGTTTTTTGCTCCTCTTCACCGCCATTGTCTCCGTTTTTGCCGCTGGACCTCTTGTTTTTTTCAATCACCGCTGGACCTCAAAATTGACTCAAACTTCAACTCTGAATAACTCAGCCATTCCTCTACCAAATTCTTCAAGCAAATCATCAATCATCTTCTTTCTTGATCATCTTCACCGCCACCGTCTCCGTTTTTGCCTCCGGACCTCTCTTTTTTTTAATCATCGCTGGAACTCTAGTAGGTTTTAAACTTCAACTCTAAATACCTCAGCCGTTTCTCAACCATTTTATTCATTCAAAACACTAATAATCTTCTTTATTGATCCTCTTCACCGCCACCATCTCCGTTTTTGCCGCTGGACCTCTTGTTTTTTTTAAAGCATTGCTGGAACGCTAGTAGGACTCAAACCCCAAATCTGAATAACTCATCCGTTTCTTGACCGACTTCTTCAGAAAAAACCTTCAAAAATATTCTTTCTTGAACTTCTTGACATCCATCATCTCTGTTTTTGCCGACACACCTCTCCTTGTTGGTTATTCATTGCTCAATCGCTAGTAGGACTCCAACTCCCTCTGCGATTAACTCAGCCAGATCTCAACCAATTTCTTCTTGAAATCCATCAGAAAAACTCTTTCTTGATTTTTTTTACGGCTACCGTCTTGGTTTTTCTTGTTGAACCCCTCGTCTTTTTTTAATTCATCACTCAACTTCACCGAACTCCTGCATAACATGTCTGAAAGTCAAAGCCACATCAACCCGCTCCTTCTTTCGGCTGCGACAGCTGAGGGGAGATCTGAAGCCCACATGAAAACCCCCCTCAGGACATCTCAAGACGATGTCACCTCGCCCCAAGAAACCGCGTCTACAGCTGATCCGTTGACCGCTCGGTCTGCCGCTCTTCTTTCCCTTGCGCCCCCTCCCGAGTTATCTTATCAACTACATGACGCTGCGCAACAGTGGGCCTTGGAGCATGGGTATGCGATTGTCAAGAGAAACACCACACAGTCCAAGGGGGAGGACCGAGTTACTTATAGATGCGACCTATCTGGCGAACCAGCGGTACCAAAGCCTGACAAGTTGGGCAAATCAAAGAGGATCAGATGTCCCTTTGAAATGTTGGGCAACTTCTACAAGAGGGAGGGACGCTACAGAATCAAGATCAAGAATGTGAATCACAACCACCCAGCTTCGGAGGATCCATACGTTCATCCAATCCATCTAAGTGTGACTGAATCACAAAAAGAAAGGGTCACTGAACTAACCAACGC